TGCAGATTCTTCCTTGGAGTTCCCCGATGTCTCTGCTATGTTGTTGTTTATAAATTACCACAGGAACCACCAGCTGTCATCATAAAAATTTTATTGGCACTCTGTAAATATTAAATCAGCATGCTAAAATCATGCCATGTGCAGTAGCAGCTGATGCTCTCTTATGGAGGCAGCCTGCAAGGAAAGGGATTGCGCAGTGTAGTCTATAAGCACCCTCCTTCCAAACAGTATTTTGTTATGCTAATGTAGGTCTCGACTATCCCAATACAGGCATCATCTGTAAACCAGAATCTCCACTTTGCATTGACACGCACATGCTTTAATATGCATGCCAATATCACATTGAAACTGTTGGGTATATCTGCATTTCACTATGAAAATGTGCACTCAGTGAAAATCCTGAGACAGGTTGGGTGACAGTGCGCGCACACACGCACACACACGTGCAAATGACGTGATGTAGGCAAGCCACAAGGCACTGCAGTGCACACCCATCTCTTTGGAAAATAGCACTGGCTACAGTCTTAAGAGTACATATTTGGAATAAGGCACCATTGAAAACAGTGGGTTTGATTCCCTGATCTGACTGCTATATAAAGAAATCCTGTGGGGAATTATCTTCCTCATGTGGAAATCCGTTTATAGTTTAGATCCAAATCATCCGAAGGGGTGCAAAGCCTTTCCCTGCTCCTGCTTTAGTCCACTGAGCCCTTCTGAAATTCTACTCCTGGGGGTCGAGGATGGGGACAAAGTGGGGGTCTGTAGTGGGAGGGAGGACTCAGCAAAAAATTCCCCCATCTGCCAACTGAAGTGCCTTTATGCTGGCAGAATGGAACTTTTGGCTCCAACCCTATATTTTTACAGGATTGGTTACATTTTAACTTCAGTGGGGATTATTTGACATATATTAACATATTTCTTTTGCTGCGATAGTTCAGTCAATGTACTTTAAAATTGTTATCTTCACGGACACCTGTGGCTACTTTACATTTCCCTATTCTGGGAATGATGGTAAGGGATGCTGATTTTCTGAAGGAAGACAAGTTTGCAAAACCATTTTGAGACTAAGCGATGCCTTGTGTGTGTGTAACAGTCCGTGAGACTAAGCGATGCCTTGTGTGTGTGTGTGTAACAGTCTTTTCAAATCAATGGTACCATTTCATATCACGTCAGACTATACTTTTCAATGAGGGCAGTTCACAAGTTCAGGTGAAAATCTGAACAATAAAACTTATTTATTTACTTACTTATTGCATTTCTTAAACCATTTTTCTGCCATCCTACTAAAGACAAAGAACAGCAATCTGTGTGTGGGCTATACCATTTCAGACTGGGGGGGGGCATATATGATTCATTAAAAGAAAGGAAAAGCTAGATTTAAGGGAGAAGGTTTCATATGTAGACTTTTTTGCATTCTAATGTTTTACATATAGGGATTTTTTTAAAATTCAGTTATGGAAACCTCATGCCAACCTCTTACAGTCTTAAGTAGCACACTGTAGACACAGTCTTGTTATTTTTGTGAGAACTAGGTTGTACAACATGCAGTGACATGCATGTTTTTCAGTTTTGTAATCCACCTTGAATCTCAGTGAGAAAAGTGGACTATAAATAAAGCAAGGAAATAACCTTTCCTAACTGTGTGGTCCAGTGGGCATCTATGACCCTGGTTTTTCCTGTTTCACTTGAACACTAACCATAGAACCTTCTAACCCATTTTGGTTAGCTCCCAACCATTTTGGTACAGTGACCCACAAGTCTAAATTTACAGTGACCCACTTGAATGGGCACAAATCAATAAAATGGCAAGAACCTGTGACCCACTTTCTGGCCAGCAAACACCAGTTGGGATACACTAGACTACTAAATGAATACCACTGTGTAAATTCATAGTTGTAATCCGGTTTGCTCATATGAGCAAACATACAGAGCTGAAGAAATACAGAAGCAAGCTAGTTAAACCATCAGTCATAAAAGCCACATCCTTCATGCATCGAAACCCCTACAGATTAACCCAAATCATTTAGGTTATGGACAAGTGACCATATTTTGATCAGTTCCTTGATATGACTGATAGCCTGACACACTCACTGGAAATGAAGCTTCCATTTGTTCAGAAAGTCTGTTAATCTTGCTGACAGATGATGTCATATTATTAGCAGCCTACTACAATTAAACTGGCATGGACTAGATTTGTTCAGCACCAGTTGTTTGAAAATCCAGATGCTGAAGTCATTCAAAGGGCTGTGCTTACAAGAAAAGTGCTGTAGACTTCAGAGCTGTTATTTCAGCTGGTTCCCACTTGTGTCCATGGGAATCTGAACTAACAACAAGCTGACAACACTTTTTGTATTGTTAAGATACTTTTACTGGCATCGCTGTGAATCTGGTCAGGCTTTTGTAACAATCTGATCTTGCATGTGAAAGGGGGGAAATGCACTTTAGGGGTTGACAATTAGCAGTTAAAAGAGCCTTAAAGATAACAGTCTTTACATTAAAATAGATTCAGGTGGCTAGCTGACTAGCCGTGTTGGTCTGAAGCAACAGAATAAAATTTGAGTTCAGTGACCAACAGAGTTTTATTCAAAGTATGAACTTTCTTGTGCATGCACACTTCTTCAGATACATTGAAATGGAAGTACCAGTCCATACATATAGGTAGAGGGTGAGCAGTAAATTAGCATACAGCATAATGAAGATGTTTTACAGATTCCAGGACCAAATAGGAATAACAAGTTTAGTTCTTGAGAAGTTTAAAAATAATCCCCTGTTGGTGAAACTTGATGTAACTTGTTATGATCTATTAATTCATTCTATTAATTTATTTGTTCCATTGCCTTCCTTATTGTTCCTGTGTTATGCCAATAAAGGTCTATGTATATGTATGTAGAAACTTGATCCTTCCTTCTAAACAAGTTTAGTTTATATGGTCACCATTTGTTTGGGTTTAATTCCAGGGGGGAGAGGGGACATAGTGAAGCAAATAAATATATCAAAATTGGAGACTGATGTGTAAATGTAACAACAGGGTCTCAGTTAATGACTTTCAACTTTCCGCAGTTAAGAAGGGTAACATTTATACTTGCATCTGTTAAACATCTTCATTATGTTGTATGCTAATTTACTGCTAACCCTCTACCTGTATGTATGGACTGATAACTTCCATTTCAGTGTATCTGAAGAAGTGTGTGCACACAAAAGCTTATACTCTGAATATAACTGTGTTGGTCTTAAAGGTGCCACTGAACTCAAATTTTAGTTTTTATTTAAGATACAGTGTAGCAATAATTGAACACTTGTTAATCCCCCCCCCAAATTAGGGGCATCCCTGAGAAACCTTGTAAATTAAAATAAAAGCTTATCACAAATCAAAATAAACAAGGAATTTTTCTGAAACAGTCCCCACCCCCACCCCCTTCTGCATTTCCAATGTGACTGCATTCAAATCTCTGGGGTCTATCTAGGACCCAAGTCCTCTGGCTTTAATTTTTCCCCCCATTCCTTTTTGGAGCAATATTCTGTTAGCACCTGGTCACATGCTCTGAATGTGGAAGTTGACTCTGAAAATCAGATCCAATTAACACATCCTTGATATAACAGAATACAGTGTTAATTACATGCAGCTGATCATTGCTGGGTTAATTAAACACTCACCCCCAAAAGCTAAGGCACTAATCTAATTAACAATTACTACAGCTGTTGTTTTCTCTTTACACCTCTGTTCTAAATGGAGAAAATTCACACATAGGGCCCCGATCCAACCAGCCATGCACAGAGAGAATTCTCTTTGATCAGGAGGATTATTATTATAATTTTTTTTGTAATAGAAGGTTAGGAAATTGGTCTGAAGCTGCTTTTTTCAGGGATCAAAAGATATAAAGGAGAAATAACCTGACAATTATTTTTTCCGGAGTGTAGGTGGTGACAATATGAGGGTGTTTGTTTGGAAGGGATAACAATCTTCCCTCTTTTTAAATAGTTAATAATATGCAATTTGGTTATGAAAATACTTGCAAGGACTTTATCATAGAAGAGATATTACTGTGGACCTCTTTGGAGGTTATTTCTATTGATTCTCCCTCCCACTACAGATCTCATATGATGCCCATGTAATCATGTGGTGTCCACAAAAACAAGTGGCACAGGGGAGGGGGAAATGCTACTTTGGGTCCCTGACAGCCAGTCCATCAACTGCAAGCCTCAAATTTACCAGGGAGTAGCTCTAATTGACCATATCAGGATTTAAGAAAACGTGATTGGGAGAGTCCTGTAGAATAAAATGGATTTATGTGTACATGTGAGTACCAGGGAACAATGATAAAGCATGACTAAGTCACATTAAAATTAAATTGTATTTAAAGCGAAAATAAAATGACTAAACAGCATGCTTGTCCCGCTGCCTTCAATATGACAAAGTTATGTTAACTTTATCTGTTTCTTAAATTATTATTATCATCATCATCATCATCATTATTGTTGTTGTTGTTGTTATTGGTCCACCATCAACAGGTCACAATTCTGCTTTTCTCCATTATTTAGTAATATTTTCCTTTAAGATTGAGTATTTGGGTAGCACCGTATCACAAAAACTGAATGATCAGTTGCTCATTTGTAAACATAAATGTCCAAGGGTGATACAGGTAAACTGGTTAATGGTTCATACATCCAGTTAAATTAGCTATAAGGTATAAGACACAGGATATGCCAATGAGCGAGCAAACAAACAACATCATTGGAGTCAGGATACCTAACTTTTTTTAGTCCAAGGACCATATCTGAGATACATGAAGTAAAGTATAGCAATGAAGACCCCTCCAACTTCCTGGGTGTAGAAGAGCATGTCCAGCAATAGCTATTTCAGAGACTGTCCATTTTGTACAAGACAAACACACATCAGGCATCAGACTTTATGAAAACAGAACAGGTTGTAGTGATGGAATATGTAATGGGTATCTTGTCTCTGCTTGACAATGTTAAGGATAAAGATAGCTTTGAAAAGATCAGTTGTGTCCGTACACATTTGCATGCACATCTGAGTGTAGAAATCCTATCTCAGGGTCTTTAATCTTCTGAACCTCACACTTGCATTCTTCTACAATCATAACTACCTTGAACAAAGGAGCAGCCCTGGTACAGTTCATCTGCAAACGTCTCATGGAAAACTTGGTGGGCAAGCAGTGAGAACAGAAGCTATAAAGGCGATCTTCAGGACCTGGAACATGGAAGGAACTGCATTTCCCAAAGCACAGGTTGTTTTGCACCACCACCGTCTCACAGTTCTCATATACAATGCTCTACAAGAAAGAACATCCCAGTTAAAGCACTTGTTAAAGCATTTTGTTAGAGACCAAACACACACACACACACACACACACATGACAGTAGGTAATATATTTTCAGGACCCACTAGAATGTTGCTAAGTAGTGGGCATTTTTTTTCAAATTAATCAGAACTCTCCTTCAAAAGAGAAGATGTTGGGGCCCAAGCCTGAAGTCCCGATGGTAATTCTTAACATGGAATGAAGTTTTGTAGGATAGGCAATGCTAGTTCAAAAGAGTTCTCAGGATGCACCAAAGGCTACTGGGACAAAAAAAGCTACAAGTGCTCTGCCTTTGAAAATAGAAGAACCATAGTAATTCACACCTTTCCCAATAAAGATATTAATCTTTTTTAAAGTGAGTAGTTTGAGTGTATGTATGCCTGGAAGTCATGGTTGACTTCTGGTGACCCCCTAGTGGGGCTTGGACATTTCAGAGAGGTGGCTTGCTATTGCCTGCCTCTGCCTCCCGGCCCTGGTATTCCTTAGAGTTCTCCCTTCCAAGTACCTGCCAGGGTCGGCCCTGCTTAGCTTCTGAGATCTGACGAGATCATGCTTGCCTGGGCTATCCAGGTCAGGGCCCAATAAAGATACTAATCTACTGTGTGTTTTTAAAATGGGACTGTTTGGCTGCCTATAATTTCTCTATTACATGCAGGGTTTCCTTTGAAACATGACCATGCTGCTGATCATATGAAACCTCTGTACAGAATGGTTAACAGTTGAATTTTTAAGTACCAATAATCCTTTAGACCAATCCTATAAAGAAGGCCAGTATTATTATAGAGATGGGGGTAAGAAATAGGGGTCCGCTTCAGTCTGTCCAGTGACTTTGCAATTCACACCTTATGTACTTAACCAACTCCTTACTAAACTGTAATCCTCTTTATAGACTATACACTACAGTATCACAATTGTGTGTGGGGGGGAATGTTTTACCTGTTGTGTGCTTAGCTGTTTGTGATTTTCTTTTTCTTTTTTAAGGAACCTGCACCTTAGTCATGCTTAGAACTTTCTGTTCATATCAACAAAATGTATATATTTTAGGATAGCTAGGCACATATTAACATGGTTGCCTCAACATAGGAGACTCTAATCATGCATAAAACTTTAGTTGTGTTCTCACTTCGGGTTGTTTAATCCAGATTCTTGAGCAGAGATTTCTAATGAAACCTTTACCCTGATGTGTTTAAAGCAACTTTCACCTATGTAAAAGGGGCATTATTTATTTTAAATATTTACATGCCTTCAAGTGTTTGTGACCTCAGCAGTAAAAGTATACAAGCTATTTTGATCGAATGTTGTTGCCAAAGGCTATAGGCTCTCTGGCTCCAAGATTTGCAGCACCCCCAAATAACATTTTAATTTCTAGGATGGATTGTTAAGGAAGATAAGCAACAACATGTTCTGACTTCAATTTCCAATCAGTAAAACTGGGGAAATAGCAACTTAACACACAGAGTTGCTGTGAGGGAGAAACATTTTGCAAATTAAACATGCAGTGTAAGCTTATGAATAGCAGCAGTACTTCACAAACATTCATGATTGTTTAAAAGAAGGTTTCAGAAGTGATATATTCTGAAGTTTAATTTCCTTTACCTGAGAAAACGGCAGAGTGCTGCAAGTCTCCTCGTACATTTCGTTGGTCTTGATGGGAAGCACAACTTCTTCAGACCTTGACTTTGTTTTCAACATAAAAAGGTCCCAGAACCTCTTGGCATCTTTCCTGAAGGTTGATTCCGCTTCCCTTTTGCTGCGTGGATGAGAAGATGGGATTTTTGCATCCTGTGAATGGGGAGACTCACGTGTGGGGGTCCAGCTTCCAACATCTTGAGTTGCATCTACATATGGGAGAACAACGTTGGGCCTTTGCTTTTTGCTCATCGTCTCTGCCATTGGGTTTGCCCCAAACAAACCAAGTTCCAGAGCACCCTCATTATCTGCTACATCTTCCATGAGCAAATCTTGACTCAAAAGGTCTGGAATTATTTCTCCCCTTTTCTTCTGTAGCTCTTCTGTTTGCTCCCTTCTTCCAAGGCATGAAATCCACAGCATCTGAATCAGTAGCAAAAGCATAATGCTGGCCTTTTAGGTGGGGGCACTCCTTTTCCCCTCAATGTCCTGAAGCTTCAAAAATGGTTTGAAGTCAGGCTTCTGTATTTATATGCAGTCCAAGGTTTTAGAGTCTAACTGGTACATTCAGAGGAAGGTGAGGAGGGAGGGACAGAACAGAGGACAAGTAGGTAATGCTCATTAACTGTAGTTTGTGATTATGGTAAGAGTATCTTGAGCATCTCAGCCTTCTTCAGCTCTTGGAGAATGTGTATTCAGAATGCATTATCTGAAGTGGGATCTGTTTTCACAGGCAGGGGTGATTTCCAGTGTTTGAATAAATTGTTTAGAGGCTGTCTAGGAACAGTGGAAATTTCCTAAATGTGTATTAGTGTTCTGATACATTCTCAAGTAGGGCAGCTGTGTTAGTCTATTGCAACAAAAAAAAACAGAAGGGTGTCTTGTGGCAACAGTTTTGTCCAAGTGTAATCTTTTGAGGACTAGAGCCCACTGCCTCAGATGATGTGGAGGCTTAATGAAGTAGGCCCTAGCCCAAGAGAGTTCATCCTTCAGTAAAAAAGCCTCCCAAGATCCAGCTTGGTGTAGTGGTTAAGAGTGGTGGACTCTAATCTGGACAACCGAGTTTGATTCCCCACTCCTCTTCTGTATGCAGCCTGCTGGGTGACCTTGGGTCAGTCACAAGTTCTCTCAGAGCTGTTCTCTCAAGGGCAGTCCTCGAGAGAGCTCTCTCAGCCCCACCTACCTCACAGGGTGTCTGCTGTGGGGGAGAGAAAGGGAAGAAGATTGTAAGTCGCTCTGAGATTCCTTTGGGTAGTGAAGGTAAAGGTTTCCCTTGTTCCCAAGCTGAAGAGCCAGCGTTGTCCGAAGACATTTCCGTGGTCATGTGGCCGGCATGACTGAACGCCGAGGCGCATGGAACGCTGTTACCTTCCCACCAAAGTGGTCCCTATTTATCTACCTGCAATTTCTTGCTTTTGAACTGCTAGGCTGGCAGGAGGGGTAGTGAAGAGTGGGGTATAAAACCAACTCCTCCGCTGCCCAAGCAGATGCTCTACCATGACATGAACCACGCCACGACAATTTCCAAGTGCCTCTCTTGCCAAAGGAGGACTGGAAAAACAAACAGAATCCCTGGGAACAGCAAATGGCATCATGAATACACAAACAGCTGTTTACACAGGGAATGCAATTAAGCGAATCAAAATGCAGATTTACTGAAAAGATAATCTTGATTCAGAAGCATGTTCAGAATTTGGTGTCCATCATGTTATCAGTAATAACATCACATTTTTAGATTGAATATAAATTATATTATTTCAGACCAGTAAAATCTCCTTTCATGATAGACTTGTGACCTTTCAGACTGATTGTCCAAAATGCCCTTGAAATTTAAAATAAACTAGTAAAACCTTCCAGAGAGGTGGCTGTATTCGTCTGCTACAGCACAAACAAAAAAGAAATCCTGAGAAACATTAAACAGATCTATTTGTCAGATAAACTTTTGTGGATTAGAGCCCATTTCATTAAACGAAGCATCTGAGCACACCTCTGTTAATCAGCATGTCTCTGGTGATGTGAAATGTCAGCTTCCTGTGCAGTCTGGAAATATCCTCTTGCTTCCTAAGGAGACATTTACAGTGAATCCCTTTCAGACCATCTTAATGTGTCAAATTTTAGCTTTTGAGATGCCTGGAAGTACCTAAACTGCTTCAAGGTACTCTTTGGGTGCGTTCAGACAGGCCATTTAGTTCACTTTTGGCACGCTTCAGTAACGGATTTTATATCCATGTTCACACACCCAACATCTGCGCACCGTCCCCAGCCGCCGCTTTCCGGCTCAACCTTCCTTTAAAACGGAGTATTTTGTTACCAGGTCCCCAAGTGGTGTTTTCCTGATTCTCCGGTTCTAGCTGCCCTTTTCTGACGTCTGATCGCCACTTCCGCTCTGAAGCGTGAGGCTTCCGCTCTTCACCCACCGTTTTATTTTAGCATCAGTGGTATGTGCACAGGCAGAGCTCCGCTCCCGCGTTATTAAAACAATGTTTAAATGGTGCCTAGCAATGTTCCCTCTAAGCTGAGTTAGTGTGAGCTAGCTCACAGTTTTTTAGCCTCCAGCTCAGACATTTTTGTCTTGGCTCAGGAAGGATGGCTCCAGAGCAGTGTTCCCTCTAAGCTGAGTTAGTGTGAGCTAGCTCACAGTTTTTTAGCCTCCAGCTCAGACATTTTTGTCTTGGCTCAGGAAGGATGGCTCCAGAGCAGTGTTCCCTCTAAGCTGAGTTAGTGTGAGCTAGCTCACAGTTTTTTAGCCTCCAGCTCAGACATTTTTGTCTTGGCTCAGGAAGGATGGCTCCAGAGCAGTGTTCCCTCTAAGCTGAGTTAGTGTGAGCTAGCTCACACTAACTCAGCTTAGAGGAAACACTGGCTGCCTAGTTTTGTTGCTTAGACGAGTTCGGGATCTCACGAAGGCCAGTTTCGGGGTAAACGTTTAAAGGGAAGTGTTCCTTTAAAGTTTAAAGGGAAGAGTTACAGCAGCTGGGTTGAAGTGAAAATCGCTGTTCTGCGCACGCATGAAAATTTTAATTCTACAGATGGCTGCCTGTGCACATGCCCAAACTGAGAGGGGGGGAAAAACCCACCAGTGCACGCTTCCGCGTGTGGACGGCAGGGAACGATGTGGCTGCGCAGCAATCTGGAAGAAGGAGGCGAGTATGATCGCAATTCTCCAGGTTAAAAAAAAATGCATCGGGACTGGAGCAATTTAAACTGCTCCCAACACCCAATCTGAAGTTGAGAGACAGTAGAACAACAATTAACATGTTTTCAGATTCCTCTAGTAATCTGAGATTACAAGAGTATACATTTAAGGGTAATACACAGGATTGCTAGCTCAGGGCTGGGAAATACGTGGAGATTTTTGGGTGGAGCCTGGGGAGGGTGGGGTTTGGGCAGGGGAGGGACCTCAGCTGGGTATAATGCCACAGAGTCCACCCTCCAAAGCAGCCATCTGCTCCAGGAGAATTGATCTTTGTCATCTGGAGATCAGTTGTAATAGCAGGAGATCTCCAGGTGCCGCCTGGAGGTTGACAATCCTAGTCATAAACTATTCCCACCAATACTCCTGTGTGCCAGCTTTCAGGCTCACATCTCTCTGTATTTAAAACAAACCAAAACACTGGGTTGTATCCTACCATTCTGCTTAGCTAACTTTCCACAAGCCAGAGTCACCTTCTTCTGGAGGAAGAGTCGCTTCCAGTAGATGAAAAGCCTTTTTCTCTGGAGAAAGACTCTTTAGTGTGGAGGAAAACGCTACACAAACATGAGCGGAGAGGTATGATGACATCATATAACGCACCAGGGTTTTTATTCCTTCGTCTCTCTACAGCCCTTGTGCCACATGACTTTTTTCATCCATGGGAATTCCCTGACCCTCAGCAGTACCTTGTTGGGGTGGGGGGAGAAGGTTCGGAAGAGGTAGGCTGGGAAGATCCACTGCCTAAAGCAGGAGGCACTTGTGTTTTCTAGGATCCATCACAGTGAGTATTTTTTTGGGGGGGAACCTAGCTCAGCAGCAATTTGCTTTAAGGAGTTTATGGGACTGTGATCTAGGAGCAGGCAGCATACATGTATATAAACAGCAGGCATAAACCTCATCGATCAGAGAAGCTGCACTGTTGTTTCTTTGTGCAGATGCCCCCGTGTTCAAAACAGGGAGAAATAATTCTTTCTATTCACTTTCTTCACCCTCTGAATAATTTTATAAACTTCTATCATGACTCCCCCACCATCTTTTCTCTAAACTGAAACACATCAGGCTGTTTAGTCTATCTTTATAAAGGGTACCCTAAATCCTTGATAATTTTGGTTGCTGTCTTCTGCACCTTTTCCCAGCTGAGATATCAGATATCTTTTCTGAGATATGGTAACCAGTACTGCAAAACAATACTCCAGATGTGGTCATGCTGTACATATATACAAGGACATTACAGTACAGCCATTTTATTTTCAGTTGTTTTCCTAATAATCCCTAGCACAGAATTTGACTGTTTCACCATAGCTATCTACTGAGTAGGTATTTTCATCAAACTATCCACTACAACTCACTGCATCTCTTTCCTACTCAATCACTACCAACCCCCCATACCTCTACTTCACTTCCCAGTGCCATTGTCATCTACTGATATGAGACAAAGAAATACAGTGTCTCAAAGAAACATTGATGTGGACTATTAAAGGGCAATGATAATACATCCACAATATTTTTATTATTTGTAATATTCTTTTATTAAAAGTACCTTTTTAGGCATTACAGTAGATACAGTGCATATAGAATGGAATTTGGAGTATAAATGTTGATTAGCACCAGGTTTTTAAGATTTAAATAAAGCAAAACCTCACTGTGATAAGCATATCATTATCTTCAGCATTCAGTAAAGTGTGTTTATATATCGCTCTCACTTCAAATGTCCCTAAAAGGAAAATGTATATATATAATTCACAAGAGCCTGATTTGTTTGTATAATCCTCATCACATATTTATCAATGCCAATGTGAAAAATGAATTTTCTTCTGAGAAACCACATTCTGTTTCTAATGGACTACTGGCAGTCTTTGGAGTTACAGACTACAAACAAGACTTTGGGTTTATTGACAGGCATAATGGTGACAAAGAACATGTTTGAATAATTCTGCCAGGATTCTTTATGGCTGAAATCTACTGAAGCTGGTAGACAGGTCAGACATATAATGATGTTCAGACTTACCATCTGAGCACTAACATAAGAATATAAGAGAAGCCAATGTTGGATCAGGCCAATGGCCCATCCAGTCCAACGCTCTGTCCCACAGTGGCCAAAAATACCAGGTGCCATCAGGAGGTCCACCAGTGGGGCCAGGACACCAGAAGCCCTCCCACTGTTGCCCCCCCCAAACACCAAGAATACAGAACATCACTATCCATATTTGGTCTGAAACAAGAAGAACATTCATACATTTAACTTCCAATTATTACCAGAATTTAAAGTCTAAAAATCCACTAAAGTCACAAGGGCTAACTTTACCACAAGGCTACGAACACAGTCATTTTAGGTGGCAGTTTCAAAAGAAGGCACCATTTTCCTGCTTCTGTGATCTAGCACTCTAAACCACTACAAAGATGGGGGGGGGTCATTTTTACTTTCGAGCTTAGAAATGTCTGAGACCAGCACTGTGTGTTTTGTATATACACTTTCAAAATTAAGACTTCAACCCCTGTTTCATTGCAGGAGTCAGATGCCCTGTCCAGGAAAGCATCATGTCCTTGCCCACCCAACAGTTCCTCTCAAGGAGTTTATACTCAAAACACTGCAGACACCGGAAAAAGAGAGATGAAGGGCAGCACATCTCATTTCTTCCATTTTTTATGGAACAAAAAGAGTAGTCTTGTGGCACCTGAAGGATCAACAGGTTTTTTCAATTTCAATGTATTACAGGTGTATATGACCGAAGTCTTGACCAAAAAGATACAAAAGGGGAATAAAATGGGTACACAACAGGTTTTTGTAAGCCTACTATAATTAGATCTCCTGTCCCCTCATTTTGAGCTGTTCTGGCTCTCTCAAATAAATATGTTTAAAAATCACTATACACAAGAAAGGCCACGTATATGTTTGAATGTCCGTTTTCTTTACAGTTTCCTGGAGCAAATATAGTTGTGTCCTTTGCCCTTCCTGCAGTCCTTTCTTTGCCATTTCCCCTGCTGCTGTACTAAAACGCAGCTCCTTCTTCTCTTTGAAAGATGAGGGGGACCTTTTCTCCAGTTGGTGAAACCGACACTTTCTCCATCATTCCATTCTAATTGGCCTGGATTTCGTTGATCATTCAAGCCTATAATGAATAAAATCATACAGGTTGATGGCCATCAAACAGCTGACAAAGTGATTAGTCCAAATAACTGCTCTCCTAACTTTTCTTACCTGTTTCTTCCTACCTTGGTTCTTTAACCCTGTATTGATTTTTGAGTGATAGCTATCTTAGGTAAATATATTCTGCTCATCTGGGAGGTTTCATTGTGAAAACATAAACATTGCTTTATAATTAACAGCCCAGTTATTAAACTGCCTTTAGTATCTGTACCTGTGAATTGCAGCAAATGGCTACAGCACTGACCCCCGACCAGTGCCCTGATCCCATCTGGTTAAGGGCTACTCATCACAAGATCCAATATGAAGCTGAGCCATGAGCTCTTTAGGTGGGAGGGAAAAGTTCCAGGAGAACAGAACTGGTTGGGAGAGAGGCCAAATCAGAGAAGAGCTTCAAGGGCAGAGCTGGTAGGCTTGGAAGCTTTCTGCCAGGGACCTGCAGAACTCCAACTCCCCGATTTTACCTCGGACACTGAACATGTTTTGATATGAACATGTTTTGATATGAACATGTTATAAGAAAAAAGTATTTTAATACTGTCCTTCCTTTTTCTACATCTTTTGGTGGGAAATGTAAGACAGGCTACAGTAACACTCTGCTCCATACATACCTATCCAAAAGGGTCTCCTTTCACTGAAGTTCCACAGCCACCGCATGTGTAATTTGGAAGCCACGCTTGCTAAACTGCCATGGTACCTGGGATCGATAAACAAAGATTGTAGAGTCAGAGGTAGCATCTGTCCCATGGACTAAGTGCAGCAGGCACATTGCATGGCTCATGAACAACACGTTTCAGAACAGGGGATCGTCAGCTCCCCTTTTAAGAAGCTATTTGAAATGTAGTTCTTCGTGCCAAAAAGAGACAAGCTGTGGTACACAAACTATGCCTGATGTTCCTTAAATACAATACACCAGTATGACTTAGTTCTGTTTAATCTACTTATTCTCAAATTATTTACCTGGAAATAAATCTTGGTGATTTCAATGGGACCGACAGCCAAATAATGTATAACTGCAAGCAAACGACCCAGACTAAATTGTGGAAAATATACTGGAAGGAGAAAACCCAAACCTTTAACAGCTGAATCAACTGACGATCCAGATATACTATTTGAGAGAATATGTTAGTTCAGGATGCAATTAACAATAGCCCCTGTCAGTCAGAAAGAAAATGACAAGATAAATTGGATAGGATGAGATATGTAAATGTAAACACTGTCCTTATTTTCTCTAATTAAGGCCATACTTTAAAAAAATGCCATCTACTCTGTGCAGACTCTGCTAAGCAAAGCATGCTGATGATACAAAGGCTGACATCCAATCCTTGTTTCTTAAATTGATTTGACTCCCAGTGTCAGCATTTACATTAATTTACGTTTGTTTGAAATTATGTCTGCTTCTAAGATGTTAATGGGCTATATTCCAAGTTGGTAGTTACTCTCAAATCACCCCAGTGGGGCATAGATCAATGACGATAAGGATGAATTAGCTAAACAGAACCTTCCTTACTAGCCAACACAAATCAGCAGAAGTATCCTTATCATCTCTGAGTCTGTGCTTCTTAATTACAATTTGCCTCTGTCTACCCTTGTCAACTGCACACACAAACCAGAGAATCAACTAAGCCTATGCTGAAAGTCCAATCCACAAGTTACAGTGAACAGAGAATCAACTAAGCCTATGCTGAAAGCCCAATCCACAAGTCAGAGTAAACACACAATCTGTGCACAGTGTACACTTGATTGTTCTTTGTATGTGCATTGAGTAATTCTCATGTGCCGCTGAACATGTAACACAAACCCCACATTTATTGGTCCCCAGTTTCATTCATAAAGTGAATGCATGTTGGCAGGATGTAGATGCATTCACTGTAACATGTGAACAGGCTTACGTCATTGTCCATTTGGTGATACTTTATTATATTTTTATCCTGGTCTTATTTCCAAGGAGTTCAAGGCTGTGCACATGCCACCCTCCCAAATTTAAGTATCCTACCAGCCTTCTGAGGTAGGTGAGACCGAGAGGTAATAACTGGCCCAAAGTCAATTAGTGAATTTCATGGCTAACTGGGGAGGAAAACATCAGCATTTTTTTTACATTTTAGATGCCACTGCACACTAGGGGAAAGGGAAATTATTGGACTTCAGGACAGTGTTGTTGTAGAAGGCTCAGATGGTTGTCCTACAAGAAATTATTGGACTTCAGGACAGTGTTGTAGAAGGCTCAGATGGTTGTCCTTCAATACTTAGGGAAGAAAAAAGAGATGTGAGGAGACATGGAAAGTGTGTGTGCGTGTGAAAGGGAGGGAACAGGAGGTCACGTATGAGCAACTGGGGCAAGGGAGAGAACAGGTAGCTGCTGGGGGGGGGAGCCACTCCAATTGTGGCTTCAGCATGTCTGCAGTCAAGCAGAACCCCTTCACGTCAGGGACAGTCTCACTGGTAAGTTGGGAGCCACTGCAGCTGCATTCATACCTCTCCACTTGGCCTACAGCTCTGGGGATGGATAGCCTGGGGCCTCTGCCACAGATGATACGGTGGCCTTTGGCTTGGGGCAGGTGCGAATTCGCAACTTGTAGTTCAGGTGCATGCGGCCTCCCCACTTCTTGCAAAAAGCATATCAAGGGACCCTTAAATTATTTTTTCATGAAGGGGGTGGGCGCATCTGAATCCCAAGTAGCAAATTTGCTGCTTGGAGTTTAGATGTGGAGGCCAATGGCCGCCCCTCTCCCTCCCCTCCTGCAAGATTTAAAGTGCCCTCCAGCTGATTGACAGGCCATGCACTCCTACTGATCAGCTGGAGGGCCCTTCAAGTCTTGCAGGAGGGGATGGATAGCTGCTGTTGGGGGTGGGGATTGGGGCGGAGCTTCCCCTGCCGGCCAGCTGGCTGGGGGTAGGCAGGAGCCCATGAAATCAGGGGATCCCCCACCCCCACCTGGCACCCCTAGGGGTGGTAGGCTTGCCAATGATCTCTGGCTTGAACTCCCCCAGCATCACCCCACCATGGATCACCTTGCAAGTCACAGGCATCTCTGCCTTATCAGGCTTTGCTTGGCCTGGGTCCCTCTGTGTACGTGACCTCAGACCATTCTGGCTGCCCCCCCCCCACTTTTGCAGGTGGGAGAGTTAGTTCAGCTTTTCTTCCCAGTCCCCTTCCATGGTGGCTTGGAGACAGGGGGGACTTTGCAATAGCCAGCCACTATGCATTTTACCCTGGGGCCTGGCCTCACAGCCTTGGCAGTGGGAGCAGGCTGGGGAAGGGGTTTGCCCCCTTCCAGGCAGCATGGGAGTTCCTGCCCTGCCCTGCAGTACTGACTCTCCAGTTTGCCCATGTGGGTTTTCCTCTGTACCCCGCTTCCAGCTCACAGGGCCTTGCAGTGAGAACACAACAACTTGGAGCTTACCAGCTGCTGTCCTTTATAAAGTTTACATCTCCAGTACCTGGCATTACATTTTATGGTACAGATGGCCCGACCCTCATAACAAGTGAGTTTGACACCTCTGCCCTAAACAGTCTGGGACTGGCATACCTGAATGACCACCTCTCCTGATACAACTGCACGCGCTGTTTGTGTCTTGCTTCCACTAGGGTGAGGGGTTTTTCCATCATAGTCCCATTCTGGTGGAATGCCTTATCAGAGATGAGCAGTCAAGCTTCCACAGGGCATATAAAATGGAATTGTTCCAGCAGGCCTTTGGCTAATACTTTTATTTTATTTTATTTTCTGCGGCTACTAGTCTGCCACACGTTTTCTCTCTGGAATATTTCTAGGTACTGGGAGAAGGTTAAGATTTTAACTGTTCTAATTTGTTTTACTGATGAACCTTATGGTTCAGTTGTATGTTTTTTAAAAAAATGTTGTGAGCAAACTTGAGCCCCACATTGTGGGAGAGGGAGTGGGATATAAATCTAGTAAGTAAGTAAATAAATTAAATAAGAATTCCTGACATTTTCTGTTATTATTATTATTATTGCAATTCCAGGTCTGAAAAGGATTTTACAATGCTCTTGCAAGGAAAAAACATTGATGATACAACAGCCCAACCTTCCAAATCTAGACTTCCATAAATTTCCCATGCAGTTCCATGGGAGGCCTCTGTCATTTTTGTTATCTGAGTTCTCCTTTTAGAAATGTTTAGCATGCTCCTCAAAGCAACTGGATAAATGACACGGCTTATAAATGGAACAGAAAAGAGCAAGAGTCCAGTAGCACCTTAAAGACTAACAAAATTTGTGGCATGGTATGAGTCTTTGTGAGTCACTGCTCCCTTCTTCAGATTCTAGCTGTATCTGAAGAAGTGAGCAGTAACTCACAAAAGCACATACCCTGCCACAAATTTTGTTAGTCTTTAAGGTTCTCTTGCGCTTCTCTACTGCTACAGACATACTAGCACGGCTACCGATCTTGATCTATCTCCACAGATGGAATAAGCATTCAAATGATACCTTTGTGGTGGAATTCCAATTGAGCTAGTGACCTAGGATCTCAAGCATATTTGAAAATCTCAAGCATTACCTTAGATCCAGTTTTAGCTTTATCTTAAGTGCAAGAGTTTCATTTCTACACTAATCCACTGGGACAGACACAAAAACAGCCAAATGATGGGTATGTACAAATATATGTCTTCTTACCATACTTTGCAAGCCCAGGCAGCTTCATTCCATGGGACTTTCTGGTCAGTGATTAGGATATAGCACCTTTCATCATGATGGCTCCATCCAGGAGGGCAAGATTTCAAGTTAACATTCTGGAATGAAATAATTTGTTCCGCTATGTCCACCTTTTGAAAGTGTGACTTCAGTTTCTATACGCATTTCTCTAAAACTGAAATGGTTAAAGGCTACCACATGGAAATTGCATACTGTATATTAAAAAAAAATGTATTTTTGATTGAGATTTTAATTTCAGCCACTGACTCCAAATACAGATCTGTAGTCTTCAACTATTTGAAACTTTGGATCCATCTTTAATCACAATCTGCAGCATGGCTCATACTTCCACTTTTCCATGTATTGCCATCTTCACCTTCCCTTAAAATGAACCCTTAAACCTGGTATGACTTGTCTCAGATGAAGGTATGTCCCACCTGTGGGTCATGACCCACCATTTGAAGATCAATGTTATAGATCAGGATATCCAAATAGAGTCCTTTGGTTGCATCTGGAGTCTGGACCCTACTCTGATTTTCTGACACCATTCTCCGTGGCAGAATGCAGAGGTCATTTCGGGGGGGAACGCGGGGGAACACAGTTCCCCCGGGTGAGGTGCAAGGGGGCGGGGCACATGACGAAGCCCCGCCCCCTGCTTCTGGCCGCCCCGCTTCCGGCCCTCATTCAGCCAGGAGGAGGCAGGAGAAGAGGGAGGGTAAGTTGCTTCCTCCCCGCCTCTCCCCACCCCTGCCTGCCTGGGGCCAGGGAGGGCCTTGGCGGGGCTTCCTCCCACTCCCGCCGGCCTTGCAGGTCCACCACCGGGCCCCTGATGTCAGGGGGTGTGGCATATGCTAATGAGTGATGCTAATGAGTTTCCCTAGCTCTTTTTCTACGAAATGACCCCTGGCAGAATGACAGCATGAGGTCTGGGATAATTTCACATTTTTCAGTTGAGGGGAACACTTAAAGTAAGAGGTAACGTGATTCTCTGTCCCAGACCCATTTACTTCCTTGGAGGCACTTATCTCTGTCTTTTAGGATTTTTAGCCAGTTATGGTCGAGCTGCTCCCTCTTCAAACTGTTAATGATGGACTGCTAACATCACGGCAGATTGGGGATCTGCCCCTCATGGAGTTCCTTTAGGGAGAGTCCCGTCCCTCAACCCCGGTAAATGAACTGGTTTTCTTTGTTTGTGCTGAACAGATAAAACTCCTTGACAGCAGATAAAACTCTTTGACAGAAATTCCTGTTTCCTGAGTCTGAAATCATTCCATAAAGGCATCATCCTTTGTCACAGATGGATAACTGAACAATGACTAAAATGACCCATTAAAATCACTTGTAAATTCTAACACTGCGGTCTGTGTATATGTTTTTAAAAAAGAGAGTCTTGCTGGTTAAAGGCAAAAGCAACAGAAATACTTTCTTCCTCCGGAATTTTTCCAATATAAGTTTTAAAAACTGTACCTATACCAAGATGAGCAGCTAGATTCAAGTCCAGTGGCACCTTAGAGATGAAGGAAGCTTTGACTTTCGAAAGCTCATACCCCAAGGGTCTTATTGGCTTCTAAGGTACAACTGGACTCGAATCGAGGTGTTCTACTGCAGACCAGAATAAAAAGAACTACTGCAGACCAGCACAGCTGCCCTCCGAAACTATCACCAAGACGAGCAGATTCATACCTTGCTTGTGGAATTCCATAAAGTCCAAGAAATACCGTCACACTGAAACAACTTCTGGATGTTTTCTTCAAAATGCAAGAGACCCCTTAAATCTGGTGCACAATGCTTCGGAAAGCCAAGTTTTGGGACCTGGAAAGAAAGGAACATTAGGAAAAATTAGACAAATCAGTTCACATTTTTATTCTCTATGTCCAATGTTTATGAATCCCTTCTAGAAAGGATTTACATTGAATTTGTAATGGCAGTGTACTATGTACATAAATAGTTGAGAGGAAATTCTTTGTGTGGAGAACATTTTGCAGATGGATACTAGCATAATCTGAGAAATGACATCACCAAATGAAGATTTATTTGTACAAGTGCTGTAGGTTCTCTGGAGTTAAACTGGAATATTCCCAACAATTTCTAAAAAACGTTTTGATCTTAAGCTAAACATTTCTTTCACAAAAAAATTATATCTTGAGGAAACTGAAGATTGTCAAAGTAGTCATCTTAGTGGTAAACCTTGCCATAGTACAGCACAGGTGAGAGCATAATCAAAGTACAACAAAAGAAGTTGATACCTGAATGCTGGCATCTGCCTGTGGAACGTCTGTTTTTCTTGGGGAAGCCACATGCTTCTTTGGCTCATCTTGGCTTATCAGTGATTCAGCTGCCATCTTGTTAGGTGATGGATTGTCATCTTCTACTCTTAGCACTGCCATCCCATGGTACTTAGTGACAAAGAGTAACAAAAAGACAAATTAAGATGAAGGATAGCCTTTACCATTAAATTCAGAGTCAATTGAAATCAACTGGCTTAAAACGGTGCAATTTAGGGCTGCCAACTCCAGGGTGGGAAATTCCTGGAAATTTGGGGGCAGGGTTTGGGAAGGGCAGAGTTTGGGGAGGGGAGGGAGCTCAATAGGGGTGTGATGCCACAGAGCCCATCTTCTGAAGCTGCCATTTTCCCCAGGGGAACTGAATGTTGTACTCTGGAGATCAGCTGTAATTCCAGGAGAACTCCAGGCCCCACCTGTAGGTTGGCAACCCTAGTGCAACTCTGCCTAGGATGGCACTGTCAGTCAAGGAATTAAGAAGAACTTGGCTAATGATATATATACATAAGGTATACAATGGGGGGGTCTGTGTTTTGGATTTTAAGAGCAAAGGAGCACGGGGACAGGGCTCCTAAAATAAAGAACCACTTCTGTGTCTTACCTAATGTACACTAGTTGTACCCATTCACATGTTACAGAGAATACAGGTTGGGTCCAGAGGCCCCACTCTATGCCTTGTGTGAAAGTCACATGTGAGTCATGGGTTCTCCTCAGTCTCCGAATAGCAATTCAAATTAAGGCTGCGGTATGTGTGGAAAAGAGGCTTCCCCCCCCAATGCCATTTTCCCAGCCAGCAATGGTGTGCTATTTGGCCCACTAAGGAAACCTATGCGTTCACTTGTAGGATTCCCCAACAGACCAAATAGTGCGGGGGGCATTGAGTGTTTCAGGACATAAAAATGGTGTCGGTGAAGGTTGAAGCCAAGGGACTTCATGCATGCCAAAGTTGCGATCTGACTTGGGCACTGCAAACAGGGGAACGTAGCAAAACCTACAACGGGTGTGTACCTGTTTCACAGGACACATCCATTTCCCATCAGCTGTGTTCTCTTCCATACTGAAGCCCAGGATGGAGAAAAACATTTGAGGGAAGGGGTAAGCAGCAGTCAGAGGGTCCTGCACTCCTCCCTGCGTGTGCCCTTTTGCCTTTAAAAGTGGACCCCCTAACCCTTGCTTCACAACAGATGAGGAAGACCCAACTTAAACCTATGCATCTGCTACATCATATGTGGCTGGACCCTTTCAAACAATTGGGAATGGAGTGCGTGTTTGAAGGTATTAAAGTTGTGTATGTAGTCCATATGTACACATGAAGCTGCCTTATATTGAACCAGCAGTGGTCCATGAAGGTCAATACTGTCTACTAAAACTGGCAGAGGCTCTCCGGGCCTGGGTCTCCGGGGTGGGGGGAAGCTTTCACATCACACACCACCTGATCTTTTTCACAGGAGAGGCTGGGGACCTTCTGCATGCCAAGCAGATGCTCTACCACTGCGCCACAGCCTCTCCTCTGTATAGAACAAATGACATGAAGCTTTCACATTTTCAATCCTGCCCTTTCAAGGAACAGAACAGCATGTATATTTCTCCTCTCCATTTATCTTCAAAACAACCCTGTGAGTAGGCTTACCAAGTCCCCCTGGGGGGCGGGGAAACTCCCGCCCTAGAGGCCCGTTCCCCGCCACCGGATCGGGCCCTGGGGGGAACTCCACCCGACGTGCACGTCACCAGGAAGTGACGTGACGACGCCGGGCACGCTGGAGGCGGGGCCACGGTCATCCGAGGGAAAACTCTATGTTTTTCCCTCGGATGGTCTTAGCCCCACCCCCAGTGTGTCCAGCGTTGTCACGTCACTTCCTGGTGACGTGGATGTGGCACACACGCGCGCTCCAGGATCGCCCTGGGAGTCCCCCGCTCCAGAACAAGAAGACACTTAGCAACCCTACCTGTGAGGTAGGACAGGCTAAGAGATAATGGGCCCAGATCTCCTCAGTCCCAGTCGGACTCTAATAGTTAAACTCTCTTTATACATTAGTATGTGAACAGAAGATATATAAATACTGTTCTTACTTTAAGAAACACACCAGTGCCATTTCTAAATATGGAAGAAGGGGGAACCTGAAAGCCAAAGAAACAAAATGTTCATGACACATATAAATAATGGAAACAAGATATGGGGGTTTTGTGTATATTTTTGTAGTGGGGCAGCAGAGATAGAAGCCAAGGCTGCAACAAGTTTGCTATACACACATGGTTTTTGTTCCTAGGAAACAGAACCCTAGACTCAGGAAGTCTCAGCATGCCATGCATGGCAGGCCTATTCTCTCACCATCTCGTCAGAGATCTTTCATATAAACCAGACTAAAAACCGTGTCACAAACAGGCTGCAGATACACAGACATCTGGAATTATTATCCAGAACAAACATTGCTTATAGGATATAAATACATCCAGAGAACTCAAGCAAGTGATCCAGAACAAACATTACAGGGTAGTATAATGGGGACACCTGAAGCTTTAGGGCTGGCAAGGCCTCCCCCCACCCCGCCTCAGGCCCAAGTCAGAACTTGGCTATGGAATTAAAACCCTCAGAGGTTGGAGCTGAGAAAAAGGGAAGATTTCTAGCTGTAAAGAGGCCCACCTAAGAGAGAAAGTGGGTCTACAAGGGGAAAGTTGCAAAGTTATTCCTTGGACAGAGTTGCCTACTGTCTAGTAACACAGCTTTTGTGCTTGTAAATGTCTGCTACTGTTGCACTCAGCTGAACTCGTAGAGTTGCCAGCTCTGAGTTGAGAAATTCCTGGAAATTTGAGGATGGCGTCTGGGGAGAGGAGGGACCTTAGTGGGGTATATTACCATACGGTCCACCCTCCAAAGCAGCCACTTGTTCCAGGGGAACACTGATCCCTGTTGCCTGGAGATCAGTGTAATTCTGTGAGATCTCCAGGCCCTACCTGGTGGTTGGCAACCACCTCTGTGTTTGTGTGTCTAATTTTCCTGACTCCATTATGCATGAGACAAAAAAAAATGCATCAGACAGAAATAACAGAAGAGCCTCCATCAATTTATCTGTAATACAGTAGCTGCTTTGTTCACACAACACTGTTTTTGTCCCTAGTAGTCTAAAGCTGAAGACAGATAATGGGCTCTTAAGAGGGTTGCATAATGGAGCCCTCCTATGCCCATCCCACTGTCATCTTTGGTGGCCAGGTTTTACAGGTTTTTGTATTGCTTCAAAAATCTGCAAAAACCTGATTCACCAGAGATGAGAGCTATACTAAAGACCCATGTAAACCAAGGGCAACAATAACCCTGTAACAGCATCGTCTACACTCTTAGTCTTGCCTGAATTATTACTGTTTCTTGGAATGCACCTTCATTCAGTCATTTGCCTTTCGATATAAAAGCACCATCACAAACGCTTTGGAACAATTTCTTTCTTCCCATTGTTCAACAAACGATCCTTACTGTTTTGCCATTTCCAATGGCTCTCAGCCTGCTCCTTGAAAGATGCACTGATTTGAATTCTGGTAGTTTGTCCCTTCTCTGCAATACCACCTCTTTGGAAGAGGACAGCGGGACCCCTTCCAAGTGAACAGCGCCATGCCTGGAAGATGAAGAGGAGCCTGAGGAGGCTGGAAGCAGCATGCCTTTCATCCATAAGTTGTGCGTGTTTTGGCCAGAGGAATGGAATGAGCTGCACTGACCTGAAAAGCAAACAAGATGGCAGATGGTCAGTCCTTTTTATATAAAGAGATCACTGGTCACATTGATGTGGCTGATGAAACAGCTTGTTGATAGAAGTAGGATCATTTTTTTATCTGATGTCGATCTGTTCTTTTCCCCCTTTTTAAGTAGTCTTTGTTTTTGTACAAAACTCACCTAATGTGACACATGGAAAGTGTCACCTCACACGTTTTAAAAAGGATCCTGTTTCCTAAAAACCCACTGCAATGATGGGCCATCACACGCACTCACCTGGCCAATGATTGTTCATGGTCAAGGGGATGGCTTTCCACTTCACAGAGCACAGAAGGAAGACGTTTTGTGAGCCAGGCATGTCTGCCCAATGTGGACATTAACCTCTCTCCCTTATATTAAGAGGGGAAGATCACAGATGTGAAGCATGTGCACATGAGGCACACCGAGCAAACCTAATGCCTTCTGTTCATGACGGGGAGGAGAGGAGTGTGGCATGCTCGCTTCACCTTAAATGGTGATCTTCAGCTGGCTGGAAGTATGAATTGACCCCAAGATATAGCTAGTAACAGATCACTGTGGTTTTGTCATGTAAGAAGACAGTGCTTATGTACTGTGTAGATTTATGTCTTAACTGCTTTTCTTCTTTTATTGCAATGTTCTTCAAACTTTGATTAAAAACACGCACATAACCACTCGAAACTTGCTGACTTCCCTTCCTTCTCTCCTCAATTTTATTATGATCATAGATCATCAATAACATAATCGACAGTCAGCCA